TTCAACCCCAGCTTCAATGTGGTACGAACACACACACACACACACACACTTGGCATGTACAGATGCGTATGTTGACGTGCTCCTCTGTGTGTGTGCAGTTCGACACCCTGAATCTGTTGAGCCTGAGGCAGTTAGTGGAGGTTTCCAGCACTCCTGGATTCCTGTCCAGCGCTGCTGCGGTTAATAATCTGCTGCTCTACGTGCCGGACGCTCAGTTCACAGCGTTCTTCTTATCCCTCTCCGCTACACTACAGGTGACACACACACACACATTCCCCTGACCAATACTGTTCATCATGGAACATGGATATTCTCAGCCAGTCACAGCTCAGATGCTCTGCTCTCTGATTGGCTGCATGTGGTGTATCTGGGTTCTGATTGGCCAAACAATCGATTATCAAAAATAAACGTTGCAGATCTAGTTCTGAACAGCCATTTGTGCTGCATGAATGTGGATTAACATGTTTGTTTGTTTTTTCAATAAAATAAAGAAAATAAAATCTGTTTTTTTTATCCATTATTCACAGTATTCACAGATGCAACTGGTCGATTAATCGATTATCAAAATAATCATTAGTTGCAGCCCTTGGCAATTTGATGTTTTTTTTGTTGTTGTTTTTTCAGTAAATGAAGAAAAAAATTGGCCTTTTATCCAATTAATTGATTATTTGCAGAAACAATAGTCCGATTAATTGTTTAAAAAAGAATCATTCATTTGAAGACCTAGTTCTGTATCATTTGTGCTGCATGAATGTGGAATGACATGTTTTTTCCCCAATAAATTAAATGAAGTAATATGGATTTTATCCAATCAATCGATTATTCAAAGAAACAATTGTCCAGTTAACTAACTGATTATCAAAATAATCATTAGTCTCGGCCCTAGATCTGAGTGTTCATTTGGGGTGTATCTGTCGTCTGATTGGCTGTTTGTGAAGTGTCTGTATTCTGATTATTCGTTTGAGGTGTCTCTGTGTTCTGATTGGCTGTCTGAGGTGTTTCTGTGTTCTGATTGGTTGTGGTCTGTGTCTGTCAGACGCAGGGCGTTGTTCTCCCATCCCCCGTGCAGGAGGCGTTTCTGCAGCAGGTGTTTAACAGGGCCAATCTGACCACGTCATCAGACGCTGATCTGCAGATCTGGATCCTGAACATACTGCCGTCCTTCATAGCCAACATCACCGTTCAACATGTGACGTCCTACTTCAGTGTCGTCCTGCAGCGACCCTGTCCCATCAGCCAGCAGGCGTAAGACTCACACACACACACACACACACGCACCCAAACAAACAAACCGACTGCGTGCTCACTGATGTTTGCTCTTCCAGGGTGCAGCTGTTGAACTCGTCCAGCTCCACCTTCCAGCCGGCGACACAAGATCAGATCTACCAGCTGATCCTCGGCTCTCTCACAGGTGTCCATCCATCCGTCCATCTATACATGTATTCATCACTCCATCCACTCACCCAGCATCCTTCTGTCTCCACAGGCCCCGCCCCGCTGCGCTGCTATGCTAACCAGAGCTACTACGCTTTCCTGACGTCCTCCTTCATGAGCTTCCAGTTCCCCAATCTGACCACCTTCCTGTCGCTGATGCCGCCGGCTCGCGTGCCAGAGGTCAGAGACGCCAGACCGCCTTCATCTGCCGATTACTGATTAGATCCAATATAGAGTCCATGAATGAGACAATAGCTGAAGGTTATGGTCATTTCTGTAAATCAGTGGTTCTCAATAAGATGACTTAACAGTCCATAGATTAGAATTAAAGGGAAGCCTCTGAATGGGAGTCAAAAAGATTGAGAACCATTGCTTTAGAGAATAACATTTCAAATGTGCAGCAAATCACGAAGCGCGCCTTTAACTCTTCGTATTGTAAGTTCTGCTGTTGTTGGATGTGTCTCCTCACAGCTGATGGAGTCGGTGTCTCCAGAGGAGGTCAGCAGTCTCCTGAACCGGCCCAACGCTGTGGACGATGTTGCCCAAATCTGCCAGCTTTTCAGAAACTACCCAAAGACGCCCCAGTACTTACAGATGGTACGGACATCTTTCACTCTTTTAAAAACTTACAAACTAATGCAATGACCCTCTAGATTTAAATCTGATCATATCTGGTTCTGATAATCTTATATTAGCTGCTTGTTTAGCAGCTTCTGAATCGTCCTCATTGGGACGCGGTTGCACTAAATGATGAAGCGTCTCTCTGTGTGTGCCGCAGGAGCCGCTGTTGCCCGTGGGTTTGGCCCGGCAGGTGTTGTCCTGCGTCTGGCCTCAGGTTCTGAAGGTGGACGTCCAGTCTGAAGTGATTCAGTGGTTTGATCATCGACTGGTTCAGTACCTGCCTCTCCTCACCTCACAGTTCATCGCTCCAGACGTCATGCTAAACGCCTCCTGTCTCTCCTTCAAGAAGTTGTGAGTAGCACGTTTCACACATTACGTTGTGTTGGGGAGAATCTAACAAATAGGCCTAAAGTGCGGTCACAGTAGAGAAATTCTGGAGAGACTTTGCCGACAAAAAAGGTCCATTGTCTATTCTTAGTAGGGTAGCGATGTACAGTATGAAGCACAGCTCACACAGAAGTCCCTCTCAACCCAAGCAGCTTTCTGTTGGTAATTGTGAGCGACCAGCATGAAACTCCCTGTCACACAGACTCCTAATACAATGAATGGATTGATTTCGCAGAGCAATGGTTAATGTGACTGTACCTTAACTATGTGTTTCAGTAGCATAAAGACTTAGTTCTTTGCTTAGGGCTAAAACGTTTCAAAGTCAGAAACAAACTCCAAATAAACTTCATTTTGGCCTGATTTTGTTCAAAATGACGCTAGAATCATATTGGACCAATTAGTTTTCCTCTAAAGACATCTAATGATGACGGATTCTGTGCGTTTCTCTGTTTAGTGTTTCAGCGATGGCTAAATACAACTACAGTGCAGCCGAGTTTTCTCCGAGCAACATCTACGGTTCCATCCTGGTCTACCTCAACACCTGTGAGTTACTTTGATCGACTGCGTGACTGATTCTGATGTCTAATAACAATGAGGATTTGTCTGATGGTGAGCCATGTTTGTCTTTGTGTTCTCAGCTTCAGGTTCAACTCCTAAATGCTATTACACCTCCAACCCGGATCTCAACTCCACCGCCTGGTTCGCAGACTACATCTCCGTCTTCTTAAGCTTCATCACACTGGACGACCTCCTCCAGTTTGGCTCCATTCAGGTGTGTCAAGCTACGTCTTGAAGAGCTCAGATCTGTTTTCTCTCATCGGTATCCATTCGCTCTTAACGGAATAGTTCATTTTCACCCTCATGTCGTTCCAAACTCAAAAACGTCTTTGTTTTTCAGCCATTCCTCGTGAACCTGGATAACCTGCAGCTCTTCGCTCAGACCAGCGTTCCTGATGACGTGATGGAGCACTACGTGACTCTGCTGTTCGAGATGAATCCGTCCTTCAGCGCCTACTAGTGAGAGACACCAGCAACACTCTCAATAACCAATCTTAATCACATTCTCAGACCAGCGTTCCTGATGACGTGATGGAGCACTACGTGACTCTGCTGTTCGAGATGAATCCGTCCTTCAGCGCCTACTAGTGAGAGACACCAGCAACACTCTCAATAACCAATCTTAATCACATTTTACTGAACTACACTCTTAAAAATAAAGCTTCCAAAAGCAGGTTCTCACAGTGATGCCATTTAGAAGAACCTTTCAGTGAACAGTTCTTAACAGAACTCTTTTCTTATTGTGAAGAATATCTTAAGAACCTTTTCTCCATTATAAAGAATCTTTTGTGCGATGGAAGGATTCTATGGATGTTAAAGGTTCTTCATGGAACCGATAATGCCAATAAAGAACCTTAAGTTTTAATAGTGTACATGAAAAGTCAAAGTCATTTAAATCCAGAATGAGCCGCTTTCATCAAATGAAGGCTAGTTCAAATCTCACACAACACACTTATTTGCAATACTATCATTTGAAAAATCCCCCCTGAAAAGGCTGGTTTGATGGTTTTGGCCACTCGTCTGTTGGACCATCTAAACAATAGATCGAGGCTGGTTAATGTTTGCTTGTGTTCATAGTCTTCCTCTGAAGTTCCGCTGCTTGGCTCCTGCGAGCTCCTTCCTTCAGCTGAGTCTGGAGCAGCTGAAGATCATCTCATCCAGCATCCATCAGAACTGCACAGATGTTCTCCCCGATGTATGTACTAGAGTGTGTGTGTGTGTGTGTGTGTGTGTTTACGTCAGCAGAAGTAAGCTCTGTATAAGCTAGACGTGTGTGTGTGTGTGTGTGCGCGCAGGTGTCGGCGGCTCTGGCGAGTAATGCGGAGGTTCTGACGGTGGACACCATCGAGGCTCTGGGTCAGTCGTCCACGGGTTTGAGCACAGCTCAGATCAGTGGCGCCGGAGGGAATGTGCTGCTCAACATGCTCTCCGTGCTCAGACTTGTACTGGGCTGGAACCTCGATCAGGCCATGATGATCATCCAAACCCTGCTGTCGTCTGGAGTTTACCAGGTACACACCACCAATACCGATTCAAAGCCAAACGAATCAACACCTTACGTGTCTCTGAGTGGCGTTTCATTCCTGAATGAATGTTGTTGAACAAATGGGCTGAATCAAATATTCATTCAGTCATAAAGACTTTTTTACGTTCCTGAAATGAATCAGTGTTGTTGAACGTATTGTTGAATCAAAGATTCATTGGCTCACTCATAAAGACAGTCACTTGCTTCATTCCTAAGTGAATCAGTGTTGTTGAACAAACCAGTGATTCATTGACTCGCTCACAGACAGCTCTGCCAGTTAAATTCCCGTATGGAAACTATCTGTTGTACTATCTGTATAATGTTAGATGTACTAACACACGTCTGTCTGTGGCAGATTAATAGTGTGGCCAGTCTGCTGGATTTGGGTTCGCTGATCATCGGTGTTCAATCATCAATCTTCAGAGTAATCTCAGGAGAAATCTTCCTTGAGGCAGTGAAATCTGAACTGTTCGTGACCAGTGTCATCGGCGCACCTGTGATCGTCCAGCAGACCATCGTCAGCCAGGTGACTCTCGCTCACATTGACATGGCTACGGTTCGGCTCAGCATGTCTCGTGACGTCTCTCTCTGTCTCTCTTCAGATCATCGCTGTCAACAGCTCGTCTGACGCCATCATCACAAACGTTCCTGACCTCATGGCGACGGAAATCCCGCGCATCTTCCTGCTGGATGTGCCGCAGTCATCCGCGGCTGCGCAGGCGGTCAACCGGAAGAAATGGAAACACGAGCAGGTGCGTCAGGCATCTGCAATAAAACATGCTATTATATATATATATATATATATACATATATATATACAGTTTACAAATTCATTCCCTTGATTAATGACATGTATATTGCGATGTACTGCACATTGAAATATTGAAATGTATATTTATTGCACATAAAGTTATTAAGGTCATGTTGCATGAGGTAGCAAGTGTGTTGTAGTGCATGTTAAATGGTTGAATTTCTCTTCCTCTCAGGCTGTTCTGATCTTTGAAACCGTCACTGCACAGTTCAGCAATCCAGATGAGTGAGTGAAGAGAGTTATTAGTCAGATTAGATGATTATGTTTTGACCATGTTAACACGTGTGTGTGTGTGTGTGTGTGTGTGTGTAGCATGTCCTTCCAGGTGCTGCAGGGCTTCACCTGTTCACGAATCCAGAGCTTCAGCACTAGTAAAGTCCTGAGTCTGATCCGCGGCTGCAGACGGCGAGCCAATCAGACGCTCGTCCTGCAGGAGTCACAGGTGAACAAGCACATCAGTCACAGGCTTTTGTTGCTTGTTTTGTCATTTATGTTATGATGCTCCTTCATGTTCTGCAGAACCTCATGAAACCTTTATAAAATAATAGACTTCCACAAATTTGGTATCATTTTCAAATGTTGGTATTTTCAAATTCAACATCAACAAAACATCACAGAATCCATCAGATCTATTAATAATGCTGATGTCTGTGCTGCTGTTTCCCTCCAAAACCAAGCCATTTCCTGGAGGGTGATGTCATTCAGGAAGTGGCTTTAACTCGTTTAAAGAAATTATGCAAAAGGACAGGTTGGAAAGTTATACTGAGAACACAAAACAAATCATGTGTTCATCCGGAAATATTACTAACAATATCAAAGTTATTCTAATGTTTGCTTGATAAAATCAGTCAAGATGAAATAGTCTCCAGCACGCTCCCTGTGCAAGCAGGTGGTCACGTTGGTACATCGTGTACTAAGAAAACTCTTGAAACTCTAGAAACTCTTTGGTCATTTTTGAGCGAGATGCTAACGGTCTAATCAGATTCAATGATCTATGCTAAGCTACAGCTAAAAGTGCTACCGCCAGACCCGGAGATCGGCTGAATGGATTCGAAAACGGTAAAACTCAACTGTTTAACTCTAGAGGTGTTGGAAAATGAGCCTATTTTCAAAAATAGTTGAGTGTTCCTTTAACAGCAAAAACATGTTGATCATTTAGACATTCTTGGATCAGAGATAATACAGCAGATTTAATAGGCCGATTTAGATCTTAATTGTGGGTTTGATGTTTTATTCACATTTGAAGAGATGAGGTGTGCATCAGTCAGACGAGCGTGAGTGTGTTCATGAGTGTGTTGATGTGTGCTTCTCCTTCAGCTGACCTGCATGCATCACTACATCAAGAGCGCCGATCTCTCTGCCTTCTCGCAGTATCCTGCTGAAGTGCTCATCTATTACAAGTGCGTCTGAAAACACACACACACACACTCAGTTCAGCTCACGCTGTCAGTCGCAGTGACATGAAGACGAGCGAGTCACGTGTGTGTGTCTGTCTGTGTTTCAGCTACTCGATGATCGACAGATCTCTGTGCCGCTCGTATTTCTCGTCTCTGGGAGTGGCCAACTTCTCTGTTCTGTCCAGCACACTGTCCTTCAAGAAGCAGACGCTCTTCAACCACGCCAGGGGCTGTCTTGTAATGAAAACACTCTTACATTTGAGTTCTTATAATCATTTATGTGCTCAAAAAAGGATTTGGGCCTAAATGTAACATTTAGGTATTTAAAATGCATATACAATTCCCGTGCATTTGGATCCTGCAGGTTTTACCATAAAATAATGAAATACTGTGAGTCGCACATCAATGAAGCAGGTCAGATTCCTGCACTCAAAGCATCATGCCGTAGTTCATTACTAACTGTTTGCATCTATCTGATTATGCAATCATTTTCAGAATGCATTAATTCAATTGCTTAGAATCATCATAAATCTATTCATTGTAAAAACAAAGTTAAAATGGTAACATTTTATAATGAGGTTAACTATATGAGGCATGTATTAATCTTATTTAAAGTTAATTTTAATTTTTAGTAACATTTAAACTTTTATTAAAATCAGAAGTGGTGTTTATTGGACCTGTGCATGCATGAACTAACAATGAACAGCTGCGTTTTTATTAGCTAACATTAACAAAGGTGAATAAATACTGTAACAAATGTATTGCTCATGGTTAGTTAATGCATTAACAAATGTTAACTAATGGGACCTTTTATGAGATTGAAACTAATTGGATTTATTGATGATAAATATATAAACCTGGTTATTGTGTATCTAAAACACATTTTATTCAATTCAAGTTTATTTGTATAGCGCTTTTCACGATACAAATCATTGCAAAGCAACTTTACAGAAAATTAAGTTTCTACAACATATTTAGTCAATATTATTTTATCACAGTTTATTAGTACTATGACAGAAATCCGACCTGTTTTATTTATGTACCACTTAGGTTTATCTTTAGCTCAAACAAAAATGTAAACTAAACCCATTAAAATTGTTACTAAACAATTTAATGACTTATTACATACATATATAATAAAGTTATTTCGGCTAGTTGCCATGACATCACTTGTCATTTTCTTTTAGTTTACCTTGAAGTACTAAAATAGCTATAAATATATATAATAAGCTAATAAGAATGACAACACAATTATTAAAACATGAACTAAAATTAAAATGTAAACAGAAAATATAAAATACGTATCAATGATACTAAAACACTGGTATGACTGACAAATATGCATCACAAAGTTTAATCGTTTGTTTTTGTTGAAACTCTTGAAAGTTTATATGCAATTATTTAGGTCTAAATATATTTGGGTGTGTTTGTCTAGAAAGCAAAAACTTCACAACTTCAATTAGATGAGAATGTTTTCAGGATGATCGAAGCGTTTGTCTGGTGGAGTTTGACAGATGTTGCTGTGGTCTGTGTTTCAGGGAATCTCAGGCGTCAGCATCAGTCGGGATCAGCTGGATGTTTTGGGCAGCATGAGCTGTTTTCTGAGCGGCGAGTACATCCAGAGCTCGGACCCGTATGTGCTGGAGAAGCTCAAGCCGTGTGTGGATCTATCAGCTGAGCAGATCTCTGCGCTGGAGAGCATCCTGCTGGGAGGAAACACCAGCTACGGGTACACACACACACACACACACACAGACGCGCGTGTCACACTGATCTCCTGTGCGTTATATGAGCTCAGCCTGACAGCAGCCCTTCCTCTCAGACCCTCAGACAGCTGGAACAGAGCCACGCTGGAGAGCCTGGACCTCCTGCCGCTGTACCTCACCGCCAACATCTGGAGCAAATTCACACAGGTGCGACCGCAGGAGCCGCTCCAGCGACGGGAACACGGGGCTGTGTGTGTGTGTGTGTGTGTGTTTCACTGATAACTATGTGTGTGTGTGTCAGGCAAACAAGCAGAGGTTTCTGAAGACCTTCATCCGTGACCTGAGGAAGAATGATAAAGCCTCAGAGACGAAGATCCTCAACATGATGAATGAGGTCAACAAAATCTCACGAGTCAAAATCAAGAGATCCGCTGGTGAGAATCACTGCAGAAACACCACAGAATCTACACTGATTCCGATGTTTCTGAAAGAGCCTCTTCTGCTCACCAAGACTGCATTTAATTGATCAGAAATACAGTAATATTGTGAAATATTATTAGAATAACAAACAGCTGTTTTCTATGTGAATATCTGTCTGTTTTTGTAGGAGTTATGGTTGATGAGCCTAACTGGATGGTGAAATTGTGATGAAACGATATACATTCACAAGTCCTTATATTTATAACATTTAACACTCAAGGATTGACAAAACATCTTCATTTTCATATTTTCATACTCCCTATAATGTCTGAAACTGAACAGAATTTTGCAAGTCTTTTTGCTTTCTTTTTTTGCAATCCACTCAACTCCAGTCCTTCAATCACATTCTTATGCAAATGACCTAAACTTCCAAACACTAGGGTCATTAACTTACAATGATAGTCAAGTTGATGGATAGCTTCAACCAATGGCTGATATTTCAGCAGTTTGGAAAGATAGCAGGTATCCAAATACAGATCAAAACAACAGCCAACCTCAATGACAAATACTGAGTTCAGAGCCTCGTTTACAAAAACAACAGCCAACCTCAATGACAAATACAGAGTTCAAAGCCTTGTTTACAATCACAATGTCCGGAGTGTTTGGAATGTTTTTGAAATAGTCTCTGTCAGATGTGTTATGATAAAACCAGTTCAATTCAACAGTAGTATGCTGGTAAAACTTACTGTCTTTATGTATTGTTTTCAAGTCCTTTACAATCAGATCAACCAGGCGATCGTGTCTGGACACATACAGTCCTTTGTAACAACAACATCCATTTAAGATGTGGGCAACCATTTAATTTTCCTGTTGATTTTGATGTAACAGACAGTAGGAGTTGTCATTTGACGGGTACCATATTGACAGATTGTACATAGTTGGGAGACATTGTAGTCGAGCTTTAATCATAAAAATTAGAATATCCTCTGAGATTGAAAAGTTTGTCAAAACAGAGTGGGATACTGAGTGGTCAGCCGATTGGAGAACTGCTCATTTTCCCTGTAGTTTCAAGCCCATCCAGTGCTGGGCATTTTGGGTTTTTCTGAGGTGAAGAAGTGAGACTCTTACATTATTGGTCGATAGTTGACGAGGTGCACTTTCGGTGTTGAGAACCGCTAGAGCAGAGATACGCGGGTCTGTTATTATGTTCTCATTAAGAGAAGCTACCGCTCTGTCAGGTCCCTGCCAAGAGAGCTGCAGTCCTGAACGCTGGCAAATATTATTTAAACTCACTCACACACACTCACACTCACTCACACACAAACTCACTCACTCACTCACTCACTCACACACTAACTATCATCTGCTGAGTGTTACTCACTCAC